TTCAGGCTTCTCTTGCAGCAAGCATATGTGCCCCATCAATACCTCAGCGGTATGCCACTCGTTTCCCAAGCAAGTTCCAACAGTTTTCCTCGGTTGTTCAAGGCATTATTCTATCAAACAGATACCTCTATCAAGCGGAACTGGAACATAGTGGCCTCCTGAAATGGTTGGTTTATGGTTTCCCTGAAATTTCTCACCAACAGGCCTCCATTTTGAATCATTTTGAAATACTCCCATATGCAGCCGGTTCAAAGGAGCACAGCCAAAAGGGGCGCGCCTGGTTTCATGTAGGTTTGCTTGTGCCCCGACATCCGCCAAAAAGGAAGGGCAACCTGCGGTGGCTAGGAATTACTCGCGGCTTGGTTTGGGCAACATGGCCACACAAGCTCTAGAAGCGTCACAAAAAAAAGAGAGAGTAAGAAACAAACAACGTCAGACCTCATACCAATATGAACCAGTGGCAACATATTTCATGGAGCCAAAGGCCGGGCTTCGTGTTGTTTTGTGGACCCTGAGTGAAAACACGCCCCGGCCGAAGTCGCCAGGTCCCTGACATGTGCAGACCCCTGGTGCTGGCAGATGGACTGCCCGTCAGCTTCCCCGCGCCCACGTCGTTGCCTCGGAGTCCGCGAGAGAATTTTCTGGGAAGGGACGCCACTGGGAAACACACCGATCTTCAGACGCTAAAACCAGGGTGAATCGCAACGTTTCTACAGCACCAGTGTTCAACATTCTCGCCGCTGTCTTGGTGCTGACATCATGAAGCATGCAATGTTCTTGGGAGGCGGTTGATGAAGGACAGAGGACGGAAGCCAAACATTTCCGAGGCTTAGAGGCACGGTTGGTTCCCCCAAACAAGTCCAACCGCAAAACTCCAACCACTTACGCCCTTTGGGCCCCTTTTTTGGTTCCTTCTGTCAAATTTCGAGGAACGTAAGCCCCAGCCGTTCATCCGAGGAAGCCGATCCGTCTCCCACGCAGAAAAGGCGCATTCGCACGCACGTCTCGCAGAAGACTTCTTCGGGACACACGGGCAAGCACGGTATGAGGATACGCTTTTAGGAAACCGAAAGGAAACACGCCATTTTGAGGGTCTCCCTATGTTGGCACATACCCATCAGCAAAGTTCCTCGGGGTCGTCGTTCCAAGGTGTCCGATTCCGGCCGGTTGATTTGTCCGGTGGTCTTGTCAGTGGCCGTGGCCATTGGGTTTGAGGACCCCGTGCCGGCCCTTCCACCACGGAAAGTGCACATTTGATTTGTTTGGAAGACATTCCTTTGGGAGACTGACCTGCACACTTGCCACTTCTTATGATCAAAGCAGCCCCTTCGGGACAACTAGTCGTCATAGCCCATTTTGGTATCAAAGGGTTCTTTCCCACAATCATGAACAAACAAGTTGTTGCCTGTCCAATATTCGTTTGGGGAGAAAGAGGGCCTGGCCGAATAAACCAGGGGCCCACCCCTCCCCCAATTTTCCCCATGTGCTTGTGGGGGAGCCACCCAACAGACAACTCGTTTCTAGGGATCAGAACCGACTTGTTGGAAGAACCGACATGTTGGAAGGTGATGACAGGCTTGTCTCAAAATGTGGGAACGCCCAGAAGTGTCCCTTTGGTTTCCCCTTGCACCCTCAAGGTAAGGTGCCTGAAAACAGACACCGACATGATTGAAACCAAAGCGGGTTTGAGGGACTCTGGCTTGAGGGATCAGACATGCGCCCAGATTTGGCCAACTGCAAGCTGGTGCCTGGACTGTGCACTCTTGGGGATGGTACTGTGGAGAATAGTTGCACACCGGACCAGTTTTTGCCTCGGGCTTTTTTAGGGCGAGGCAGGGGTAGGAAAACCTGTTTACACAATCAACCCTGGTCCCCCAGAGGGAGCCATGGAGGGGTTGGCCCAGCCTGCACGTTTGAATGCCTGGCATTCTGGAATTCCATGCTCAGCAGCCTTATTGGTTGTTTGTTCAACAGGTCCGAAGGTGTTGGGTGAGGGTTTCAGGGGGCCCATGTTCCATTCCTAAAGAACCGCTACTGTGGTTCTGTGGACCGTCTTTAGTCGTATGAAAGGTCCTAGTGCCCGCAAATTTTATGGTGAGCTCATGTGGAGGTAAAGGGAGCACCATGATCCCTTACATGGGGATCCCAACAAACATGTTTTGTGGCATGGTACTCTCCTTCATACCCCTGGGTTCTCACCGACTGTATGATAGGTAAACAATTTCTTGGAGAGAGGATGTTGTATGATCACCTGCAAGCCGTTTAGGTTCATTTGTTTGCCCAAGATACGTAGCCGAGCCTAACCGGATCGCTTCGAGAGCAGACGTTTGTTTGTTTTTGCTGAGCGCCAGGTTGGATCCTCACCAACAAAAGGGCGCCAGAGGTGCCTTTTGGTGCCGCCAAAGAGGGGGAAGGGAGCTTTGGCGCAGGGCAGCTTTGAGCCTGGCAGAGTGCCTTCAAATTGAAGCACCCACCCATATTAGTCAATCAGTGACTTTTTTCTGGGTCAACATTGTAGTCCCAATAATGAGGACGACGATGATGATGATGATGATGATGGTGGTGATGATGATGATGATGATGATGATGATGATGATGATGATGATGATGATGATGATGGCATCCCCTGCATAGCAAGCAGCGCCATATGTGACATCAACAATCTGAATAGAAGAATCCAGAAGAGTCTAGGCTTTGAACATTCTTTTATGGCTCTGTGGATACAGACTGCTTAAAGCAACATCGACAGCGTCACCACAGCAGCAACCTCAGCGTGGTCACCGGCGCAGCTGTGTCCAGGGTGGAACAAAGTTATAGGAAAGGTCCAGCACTCTACAGAGCAACCTTCAGCACGAAGATTAGGATGGCTGATGCTGCAATGGTAAGTAAAAAAGATGACATGCGCCACCCTTCCCATGCGCCTCCTCTTTCCAGAAAGGGTCGGGAGGAGCGGCGGCCAGGAGATTCCTCACAAAGTTTTCCTTGGGGTAGGCTTGGGTTGGGTTCTGGGAGCTCCCTGAGGCTCCGGCGGAATCTGCTTTCACACCGATTGCTCAAGTTCAATGCTGGATCCTTGTGCCAGATGGCAGCGTCTTTTCTTTGGTTGTGGTGGTGTCCCACTACGGATTGCAGATCAATTTCGGGATCCCTCACACATGTTGAACATTCCAGCTTATTCGCAAACTGCACGGGCCCCCTAAAAGCAATTCTTCATCCCCCTTTTAAACATCCCAGGCAAAGGAACAAGTCATCAGCCGTTTCGGTCGCTCGCTTGTGCAGGCGCGCCCTTGACCCCGTGCAGAACCCCACGACGGTAGGCCTACTCGTCCATGGCAGTGCCGGCCGGAAGAGATGATTACTATGGTAAAGGGCAAATTTGGGTCCACCCAGGAATGAGACGAGCTCACCATGTCAGGGGCATCGCGTGGTCTAGTGTATTAAAGCGAGCTCTGGGGTAGAACGAGATACATCCGGCCCCAGATCAACGCCCCTAAGGGATTCCGATTGCTTTTTTTTTTTTTTGGGGGGGGGGGTTGTAGGGTTCCCATTGCAGTGGTTGTTTCTGGAGGGAAACTCAACGTTTTTCGGGCCCCCTATTTTAAGACACCCAATTATAGTAATTTGCCCAGATTGTTTCTCTCATGGGTCAAGCTGTCAAAGACAGGAACTTCCTTAGTCCTGGCAAAGGTGTTGCACCAACCTCTCTTCAGGCCTGCGATGTCGTGGCATTCTTTGCAGCCCCACTTGCATAAAGTGCGCTCATCTGCAGTTACAAATGACTTATGAGCCCGCAAGCTTGCATAGATGAACGCACCAAACCATGGTCCTTTTCGATGACCAGGGTACATCCCTCCGGGATGGTTGGGCCTGCTTTTTGCCCTTCACGTTTTGCGCACGCCGCCCCGCGGCCTCTTGCAAGGCTTGTCATCAATTACATATTCTTTGCGATGTCCCAATGTCGCTGACAGACTAGGAGGAAATGGAGGAGAGCAAATGTATCGAAGACGCAACAAACTTGGTGAATCAGCCGAGCCTGGGGTGGGCGGCAAGTTTTAAGCCAAGTTGCGAATTCGCCGGTTTATCCTGGTAGCTAGGAGCGGCGCCCAGGGACTGGGTCGACGAGTCGACCGGTCCGACATGCGCCCGCCACGGGGCGCCCGTGTCACCCGGCGCGTGAAAAGCAGCACGAGGCACAAAGAGGCAAGTCAATGGGGTCCCTGCTGCGTATGTCTGCGTTTTGGGGTTGTCTCAAAGGAAGCCCAAGGGACGCCATAGACGGTTCCCCAGGTTCGCGCCGGGCGAGGCAGCGCTTTCGCCCCTTTTCTGTAAAGCGAGTCATGCGCTTCAGGCCCTGCAAGGGCAGGGCTGCGCAGTGACGTCTCTGGCGGGAAACCTGCTAGAGAAACTCCTGTACAGAGGCTTCAAGCTGAACGGATCTAGATCACATCTGACATTGACCAACCAGACGGCTTTTTTTCGGGTTTACCTTCATTTGCCATGACTCCTGGCCCATGTTGGTTTCTGAGGCGGTTTTACGAGTGGGAAGTTCGGACGAGAACTGAACAAGCAGTTGCAGATTCCGGAAAGAGATGAAGGATCAAAGCATTTGTGCAGTGTCCCCCCGGCCCATGTCCCCCTTTGGCGTGTTTTGTTATGAACTTGCTCTTCCTGACTCAAGTTTCGGAGTGTGCAATGCATTGCATGTCTGATAAACATATTGATATCCGAAATGGGGTTAACCAGCCCCGAACCTGTTGCTCATACGCGGCCAGAAGATACCTGAAGCTTGAAGCCGGTCGGCAATGCCGGGGAGCAGAATTTCCCCACACTCGTGGGCCCTTTTGCAAAACAACAGCAGTTCTAGGATGGTTTCCACTACCACCAAACCAAATCCCTATATTTGGCTGCATGTCCCATTAAGCCTCTCGGGGCAGTGGAAACAATCTTGGAAAGAGGGATGCGGCTTTGAGCGGCTTTGTGCGTGTGGGGGCAGGGAGGGCATGGACGTGTTGAGGGTGGGTTTGGCTGATTGGGTTGGTTGGGGACGGTGATTTGGCTTGCCAACTGCACATCACCGTTGCGGGCCGACCCCAGGCGGCACCCCCTTTTTTCCGGATGGCGGCACAAGTGCCACAAAGGGCCTCAGTTGCCTTGCCCTTCACATGCTTCCCTTGCAGGGGTGGTGCTTGCTTTTCGCTTTTAAATCAAATGTGTTTCTCCTTTGCCCAAGCAATAAGTCTATTTTTTCAGACCCATTTCCCCCCTTGACTTAAATTTGTCTATGAGCTCTAAGTGGGGACCACCCTCAAAAAATCGTCCATGAACTTGTCTACCCTCAGAGTCGCTCTTCCCCCGCTCCTCGGTTTTCCGCTTCCGCCGCTCGGGTTCCAAGCACGGCTTCGCGGAGGCCGAGGGAGCGGAGGCGGCGCTCCAGGCGGAGAGCGAGGCGGACCGCAAGCTGAAGGAGCGATGGCCTGGGCGTTGGGTCTTTGAGAGGCGTCCTTTTTGAGGGTCGCTGCCCCAACAGGGGCGAAAAAAGTTCAAGGACACAAGGGGAAACCGCACATTTTTGAGGTCCCCCTATTTTAAGACACGGCGTTTTACGGTCGGGGTCTTTGAAAAGGCTTGCCTCTGCTTTGATTCCTTGGCTTGGACTCGGGGCCGGGTCGAACCAGGAGCTCTCCTCCGTGATCAAGCGCTCGGAGCAGCGGGAGCTGCCGGCGGTGGAGGGCTTCGGCATCAGCCTCAAGGCGTGGCTTTGGTTGTTCGACTGCAAGGGCAGTGGGGGGGAAGGGGGGCGGGGGAGGGGAGCGGGAGGGGAGAGGCGTGCGGAAAGTGTGATTGGGTGTCCCGAATTTAAGAGCTGATTGGCTTTTGAGCGCTCACTGGGCTTGAACGCCGGCTGAAGAAGTTTGGTTATTCAGATATTCACGAACGAACACCCTTGCGCTTTAATTATGATGTTTTTCGAAACCACCGGAAGGGCAATGCGCTGTTCATAGGCACCCTGTGACCATTGGACAACTTGTTCTTGATTTTGCACCTCTTGCCCATGGTTGATATTGGTGTCCACTGGTTGGCTATTGTGATGAATAGGAACCCGTGATCAAGATCGGCTGAATCACAGCAGGGCTTCGTCTCACCCGTGAAGTTTGAATAGGTCACGCCCCCATGGTTTAGCTAACGCTTGTCCACAACTGCAACCACCGCCCATTTTGCCGAAGGTCGCTTCTTTTTGGTGTGCAACCTGCCCATTCCCTCCACCCCAAGCCGCCGCATGAACGGTTGCTAGTTCCGCAGACCTCCAACAAGTGTTTGACACGGCAGCTTACCCCTCAGTTCCTCCCTTTTCGGGGTGTTCCAGAATAATTACGTAGTATTAAGCCAGCATGATTCAACCCCTCTAGACCCCAAGTCCTTTCTCGGGTTTATCTCAACACGTGTCAACCCCAAGACTGAGTAATTTCACTTAATTTACCCGTTAAACTTAATTAGGGGTCTTTGTTCGGAACTTCCCGCCCCCCCCCCCCCCCTTTTATGCTGGTTGCTTATCCCCAGGGTTGGGCACCAGTTGTTCAAACAATCAGCCTTCAGTTGCATTTGGGGGAAAGTAGCCACAATCTTTTGCAGTCATCCCCTTGCCGTCTTTCGGGGATTCACGTTGGAAAGGACATGAGGCCAAGCGTAGGCCGCTCCTTGAATCGCTGCAAGCTCCGATTTCGGTGTGTCCCAATATGTTCGCAACACTACTCTGAATCACAAGAACTTCTGTAGCCTCAGGTCTCAGCCATCGATTTCGGAGCCTTCGCTCCTTCGGCCCTTCGCAGGGCCGGCGCCTGGTGGTGAAACCTGCGGTGGCACCCACGGAGGCGGTTTTTTGCTTTTGGTCAGTCTTGGCCTTCACTAAGTGTGTTTGAATTGAGTGGGGGGGGGGCAATGTATTTTCCAGTATTGAGGTGCACCTACAGTAAATATGGGCTAGAATCGACGAGTTTGAGGCAATGGAAACTGAGCGCTGTGCGTCATCGCAAGGTTTTCAGCAAGACAGTCGAATCGATGCTTCTACATTCATCTTGTTTGACCGTCGGATTAGTTCTCCTGATTCACAGTAGTTGGTCGAAATAGGTCGAATGGCCAGCGTCACTTTACAATCTAAGTAGCTTGCGTGGCAAGCTCGTATTGTCGTGTTATACTCTTTCGCGTCTTGTAAATGCGTCTTAAAGCAGTCGTTACAGTTCAATGTCATTTTTGTGAATGAAAATGGGAGGTGCAAGTGCACTACCAATCGTGACATTTGTACCGATGCACGAGAACCAATGGTGGCGGATGGGTCCCTGATACAAGTTTAAGCGTGAGGCCTCCTCTCTCTGCAATTCCTTTTGTATTCTTAGCTTTCTGTCTGATTTCAACCTGAAAGGGTGACAGTCTCGATGGAAAACGAGCAGATAGCGAACATTTTGTCACTCGAGTCCAGTCATACACTCGTATCTAACACTGAAAACAAATCAGCGATTTGATTTGTGCAGCTAAGAACACATTTTTTCCTGCTAGAACAATGTGCTGATTTAGTCAGTACTGCGTCGTCTTCTCTCGCCCGCTTTTCTTTTTACACAGATGAGCTTCCATTTTTACAGTTTTTGGCGTGTACTTGCTTCACCGAGTGATGGTGGGTTAGAATAAAAGGTCTCATATTTTGGTTTGTGGGGAACTGACTTTGCATGTGTAAGGTTCATTGAATATTCCAACCTGAAGGTTCAACTTAGAATCACACATGGCACGTTCGGTTGGGGCAACTATCGGTTGGGGCAACTATCCTTAAATTAAAGCGCAGGTGGATTGCAGGGCTCCTAGGCAAGGAGTGCCAGGCAAGCTCAGTGGCTGAGGAACCCGTGATGGTCCCTGCAAATCCCTTCCTTCATGCGTTTTCGGTTGAGGCTGACTCGACCTTCGTCCCCCCTTTAGCATGTAAAAGATTGCCAAACGCTAAGAGAGAGAGAGAGAGAGAGAGTTGGTTTGCTGGACTTTGCAGTTCCTTTACCCAGGCCAAGATGGTTTCCTTTATCTGTCTTTTCCTTCCCTTTGGTCTTCCGTTGGCTTTGTCTTCGGTCTGCTTTCGGGTGCCGATTCTCCACCTGTCTTGGTTGAATGGGAGGCGGCGGAGCTTTCCGACAAGACGAAGCCGCAGAAGGGGCAAGCGCAGAAGGCGCGGAGAGCACGGCTCCCCTCGAGTCTTATTTGTTAGCTGTTGAGTACCGGTTGTTTTTGGGAATGACCTTCATGGTTGCAACAACATGGTTGTCTGTCTGTTGAAAGGTTTGGATGCTCCTACGTTTTCTATTTCTGATTGGTTTTGATAACAAAGACCACCCCCAACCTAGCTAGATCACCATTCTGCAAGTCGAACTCCGGGCTGGGTGGCCGGGCAGGCAGTCAGGGCACCAACTTTTAGGGAAGCAGGTCTCTTACGGTCGAAGGATCTCCTTCAGAGTTCTTGGAATTCATGTTTTGGGGAATACAATGTTAGCGGCAAACAAAGCGTTTGGACTTTCACTCAGATGTGGGGCTCTGTTTCTGCAACAGGTCAGGCAGCCAGGTGGCAGCGTGTCAAAAGGTTTTTGACCCCGCGGGCCAGAAAGACCTAGCTTTTGAGCGCAGCGGGTATCCGAACGCAAGCAGTTTCCCAGATTTGAGAGTGTCTGCCCGAGCACAGCACACATGTTCAGGCAATTGGGGCTGTGCTTTTTTGAGGGTACCAACAGGAAAACCACCCTTTCGGGGGTCCCCCTATTTCGAAGCAGGCAGAGGAACCCACAAACTCAGAGGTCTTATGTCCGTTTTCGTGGTGAACGCATCAACGTTTGGTTGCCAACGTTTGAGTTCCTCAACATACTTCAAATGGACATCACCCAAATCAATGACTGCGGGTTTTACAGGGGCGATCTACGGGCACATGGACCGGGGCTGGTGCTCGCAGACGTCAGGAGCGCCGTGCTTGGATGCACCTGCTGAACGTGGCTCGTCTGATCCACGGGAGTTTGAGCTAGCAAGCCGCCGGAGGGAGGGGGAGGAACTGTTTTACAACCACCTTATTTTCGGGTACCCTCTCTCCAACATTCATGGAAGTGGACAAGGGGCTTCCCCGAAAGGAAAGTCATCTTTCAAAAGCACCCTGTCAGCTTTGATCGTTGGGAGGGTATTGCTATTTGTATTGCTATTTGTCACCAAGCCACGCCTTAGGTGGGGGACATCGACGAGGACTCTCCGCGGTGGCAGAATCTCAGCAAGAGCGAGCAGCGGCAGCGCCAAGAGGGCCGGAAGGAGCGGCGCTGGCCGGGAGGCCCAACGATGGGAACCTCTCGTAAACTTCGCGCATTGTTTCTTTTGAAGTCGAGTGGGTGTGAAGGCTAGCCCCGGTTTTGGGCAGGTCAGCAACACAAACATCACGGTGCGTGAAAGATGAGGCAGTCCCTTTGAAGCCAGACATGTGTCTTCAGTAGGCTCTCTAGACCACCAGACTTCACGAACAGCCACATCCCGCCCAGAGGTTGCCTTTTCTCGACCGATCCCGAGGCGGATCAACAACTCCAACTTCGCGATCCACCCCCAGCGGCTCAGCGCCGGGTCCTCCAGATTTTGTTTGCGGCCAGCGGTTAGGTCAGGGTGCTTAGGATACAAATTGAAGCCAGTGAAGACATCCACATTTCAACCGGATAAGCGCGAGGATCCCCAAAGCAGATAGTTTTATCGTTTGAGGAAGCCTGTGTTGTGATCCCCTGTTAACGTTTGCCCAACGCCACGTCACTAAGATTCTGTACATGTGTAAATACCACCCACACAAAGGTTCTGATGGGGGGAACAAGTCCCACAGGCTGCAGCTACATTTATCCAGACCAGAATCACCATGAGCACTTCCCAGATACGGCATAAACAATTTCCCACAGGGCTTAGGGAGTGGTTCCCTGTCGCTTCCATTCATTTGGCAACTTCGCTTTGTCGCGAGCGCGCTTTGTCGCCAGTGCTACTGTGGATGGACGAATTCCTGCACCCCTTAAAAAACCCTGGACACTGGACTGATGATTCCCCCTGTAAATACCAACAAACCATGGTTTCAACCATAGTTTCAACCTGGTGCGCAATGGATTTCGTCACCATCCACAGCAGCAGAGGGAAAACCAGTGGTGCAAAATGGATGTCGACGAGTCGTCCATCCACATGTGCCGACGCCGCGGCTCAGATCCGCAACATGCCCACCTTTGTGGATGCCAACAAGCTCCGCGAGGTGGTGGTGAAGCCCGGGGCCCGAGTTTCAGCGACTCACAATATTAGGGGCAAGACAATTAGAATTGGGTTGAGGGGCATGTGGGGGGGAAAAAAAAAACCACATATTTTAGCCCGCCGATTCGGCGTCATAACGAGCGAAGACCCACAATGAAGATCCCTTATTTCAGGCCTTGGAGTTGTTCTTCAATTATTTTTCCAAGTTTGCCCACATGTTGCTCCCAGAATTCTGAACCTCACATTTGCTCCTATAATCATGAACTGTTCTTGTGAGACCTCAAGGTTTTCTGAACCAGAGTGGGTCCATCAGAAGATTTCATCCGAGCCCTCGGTTTTTTCCCCCCAAAGCCTCACGGCCACATGGGACTGGATAGGGGTGGCAAAAGAGGACTGGGCAGTGAAAATAAAGATGGAAATTGCTGTCATCGGTTCATCTGATTATCTCTCCCTTTCTCTTCTTTTGTCTTTCTCTTTCTCTTTCTCTTTCTCCTTTTTGTTTAAAGTCTCTCTGTCTCTCTTTCCATTTCTCCCTGTGATGTTTTCATTGCTAGTTGTGGAACACCAGTTCGTTGCTGAGCTACCAAGGGTTAGGAAGCGGAAGTATCCGAAATTCTTCTTGGAAGCTCCCCAAGAATTGAATTCACCAGGCTGCCCCACACTGTGCTGTCTCATGGACACAGACATTTTGAGAAGCGCCGACCAACGGTCTGGAGACCTTCCATCTGCTGGCTACGGGATGAACCAACTACATCCAGCCACAAGTTCCCGAATTCCCCGCGGTTTACTTATTGCCAGGTAAGCTCAGACTTGGATGACCCAAAAGTTGACTTGGTTCCACTCCGGCAGTTTGGCCAGGCTCCCAACCTGTTCCGATCCCCGCTCTGCATTTCGCAAACGATCCCCCGCATCCTCCTTCAAACCGTGGGGGCTGAGGAATCTGGCGGAGGTCAATGGAGCAGCGGGGCGCTTGGGGAAGAGACAGAGAGAGAAGCGAAGGAAAGAACGAAGTGCCCAAGAATCCGCCCATGAGCAGAATGGGTTCTTGTTGAACCAACTGAGTGGATGCCTCCCATTTTTTCCCACGGGGAACCTTCTTGTTTTCCATGGTAATTTACGGGGAAGCCCATTTTCCAACTGGATGCCTGTGGGGAGTCAAGAGCTTCGCACCCAGAAATCAGAGGTGATTTGCAACAACCGGAATCCCATAGTTGTCCCTTCCCCCGCGCGGAAGACGAGGTAAGTGGAACTCAGGATTTGTCCTTCCCCTTCTTCATAAGGTTGGGGGGTACGTTGGATGGCCAAGTATTGCAAGTAAACCAACCACACTCAAACACACAGCCATGGTAGATCATGGTAAACTAGAGGGTTTCCTTGTTTCCTTACTTGTAACATCTGGGGCACCCACCGTATCGGGCGCCGCTTTGTTCAAAAAGGCACTTTTGACCGTGGCATGCATTGCTTGGGGCGCTCGAGTGCGCAAAACATGCCGCTTGAGGAGAAGCGGAAGGAACGCCAGCAGCTGGCGCAATCAGCTGTGGTCAAGGCAGGGTGAGCGGTGTGTGTGTGTGTGTGTTATGCAAGCAAGGAAGAAGGGGCAGCCGGGCAGACGGGGAACTGGTCCTGATCAGCGCTGCTCCACTCTTTTACCTCAACGCACAGCCACGCAATTTCAAGAGGGCGTCTATGTCTGCCAATGCCACGCCTGAGCCAGCTAGCATGCAGACAGCAGACATGTTTTGTTGGGGTTTCTGGGCATAGTTATGGATCCTTTCGGCTGTTGGTTTCAGAAACATCATTCTCAGAGATAGACCCCTTGGTGGGGGGTTAAGAGTGTCCGCTCACTTCGTTCTCTCGTAGCTTCCCCAACTTAGAGAAGACCCACATTTCAAGGAATTAACCGATGAAAAGTGGATGAGAAGGCCTGGAAGAAACGATTGGCCGTTCCTTCATTATTTCCCATTCACCTCCTGCATCAGTCTCTCAATCCAAGATGAGGTGGTGCTTGGGTTAAAACGTGAATCATGTCCTTTCCCTATTTATCTCTCCTCTCCATCAATAACAAATATAATTATATTGAAGAAGATAAATGATGGAGAGGGAAATAGACGTAATTTATGAATACAAATATACAATTATCAATGAATCATAAACAATATGAAAAAGATTAAACATTATCATATATTATTATTTCCTTTACCTTTTCTATTTTTAAGATTCTTTAGTCGTGCTGCAAAAGGGGGTGCGTTTTCAAAAAATGGTCGGTTTCCTCCTTGGTTCTTGTTGGGCTTACGATGTTGCTTGAAACCAAGAAAGTTCTCACCCCCAAACCACCTGCAGCCATGGGCTGCATAATGACTAGAAAAAGCTGCTGAAGCAACAAAAGGGCTTTGAAGATGTCGTTTCCTTTTAGTTTTTTTTTTGAAACCAGGGGTTGGCTCGGCCCAGCCTTGTTGGCGTCGCGGGGGCTCAGCCTTGGCATCGCGCGGGTCGGGTGAGGCATGCCTGGTGCGGGACAAGGAGCGGCGCGAGGAGAGCGGGGCGCGGAGGTCCAAGGGCTTCGCCTTCATCGCCTTCAAGGCCTGCGGGGGCGGGGGCAGAGTGGGGCTGGGGGAGGATAGTTGGGGGGGGGGGGGAGGGGGGGGATAAATGGGGGGGGATAGATGGGGGGGATTGGGGGGGGGGGATGGGGCTGAGGGTGAGAGGTTTGACCGCTTGACCAACGAAGGGGGGTTTGAATCCAGGAGTGACATTGTTTCGAAGAGGCAACAAAGGTCAAAGAACATGGCAGGGAGGTTGACGTGGTACGAACCCCCGCGCACAGTTTTGAGCAGACAAGGCTGCAAGACAGCTAAAAGATGGCTTTTGCCGCAGCCACTGCACTGTTGATCGAATCGATTGTTGTATTTCTTGATTGTACTCTGTTTCAAGCTGGCACAGCCATGGCCCCAACGTTTCAGAGCGCTTTTTTCAGCCACATGCTGTGCATAGTGGGTACATTGTTGCCCAAATAAGCCTCCTACACGTACGACCTCGGGTAGGATGTGACTCATTGTTGGGTTAGCAGGTATCGGTGGACCCCTGCAAATCGTTGATCTCCTTTTGCTTTCGCTTAAACCGCCATCCAAATGGGCCCCACTGAAAGCGAACAAGGATACGATGGCGAAAAGCATATCTCCTCTCTACCTCACTTTACTTTTGTGTCAGGCGCGACAGACCGACAACTTGCAACTTGCACAGGTGATGGTTTATGCCTGAGAACCAAACGGTGAACATGCCACCCCCCAAAAAGGAGGTCCAAAAGCAAGTGCCTCCACACAAATGAAGACTTGCTGCGTGCCGTGTTGATCTGCAGGGAAGTAGTTTAGAGAGTGCACACAGGTTATGAAGAGACTGACTCATCTACTGGAAATGAGCTCTGGGTGGGTGGGGGGGGGAATTTGGCTTTTTGATCCAGCCAGTTCCCGACATTTGCCGACCAACAGAGGAGGTCCTTCAGTTACCCATGGCCGCTGGTCACGTGAGTCATAAGATTGCTCCCAATGCTCAAAGCTGAGGTGAACATGGATGCACCCAGCTTGGACTTTCCGGGGATCTTCATAGACGGAAATCGAGCAGATATTTTTTTGGGGTGTTTCAAGGAAAGCCGGAAGGAAGACCGGTCCCCTAGCGAGCCCTGGCCAGGACCACGACTCAGCCATGAAGACGCTCCAATTCCTCAACGACAACCCGCCGCTTGCTCGGAGCGGGCGCCGGGAGGTCGACGCTCTGTTTGTATGAACTTGAACTTCAGGAACACCCTGAGTGGAAAAAACCCATGTAGATGCTGCCCGGCGAACTCATGTTTCTGCACTTCCAAACTTCAGTGACCAAAGACACGAAAGACACAAGTGACAGGGCAAGCGCCACAAGTGAACAGACAAGCAGTCGCTGGGCTATGTTTTGGCGCAATCCCATATCTGCACAAAATGACTGCAGCCATCTAAGCGGGTACTACTGTGACGCGACTACCAAGGGGAAAGGTTAGTATACAACGCTCACAGAAAAGCACGTGGCAACTGGCCATGACACTTTGCAAGATGTTTCAGCCAATCCACAACACCTCGCCAACATTTGGGACAGCGCCCCTTTTTGGATGGTTTTGCGCAAAAACGAAAGGACACCGACGAGGACTTGTTGCAGAACACATTTGTGGGGTTTGTCTCAAAATTACAAGCGACGCCCAATATGGTTGGTTTCCTTTTAGTTCCCTTTTACAGCCAACCCAAAGGGGGTTCCCCCCAAACAGAAACCACACCCCTGTTGCTTGGAACAACCGAGTGGACCCCAGTCAAGTTTAAAGGAATCTCCTTAGTGAACCCTCTGAAACCAACCAGACGTTTCTCCGCCAATGGAGCCACTTATCAAAACGAGGAAGCCCCTCAAGGCTTTGGCTCAGGGTTCCGTTTTTGACAACTTTAAAGTGGACTTAAACCCAGGAGTGCAAAGGGAAAGGTCTGGGTCGAAGTCTATCGGCAGTCCAAAAACGGGGCACCCTTTGGCTCCTTCCGAGGCAAGCCTTCGGCGGGGGCCGGCGCCCCATCGTGGAGTTCGCGGTGGAGGACAAGCGCAAGCCCTTCGGCCCAGATCCGCGGGGTCTCGGGCTGGGTCTACCGTTCTTTTTTTGGGGGCGGTCGTGAAGGAAAGCCAAAAGGAAGAGGTCGCCATTTTAGAGGGGTCCCCTAAAAATGTCACACCCAGAAAGCCGAACATGTTCTGAGGATCCAAGTACAATCTACAACCTATTTGAGTGTTCAGGGGTTGATTTAGAGGCGGCACCCGACTAGAGGCTACTCACAAAGCCAAACGGGGATAGATACTGGTTGAATTTGTCCAGACAGCCAATTGATCACTTAAAGTTCCAAGGTAAACCCTGGGGTCCGGATAGTTTTTAGTCAGAAGTCAGTGGGGACGTCTCCCCAACGAGATCTAAGAGCCCACAAGACCCCAAGCAAATCCGGAGGTTTGGAGCCCTCCCAACTGTTCACAGCAGGATATTTTTCTGGAAAAAGCAGACGCCCCTCAAAAAAAAGAGGCCTGACGGACGGAAGGCACAGACCATTCGAGTGGCAGAGGACATGACGCCGTGCGTTTGGGGGGTGCTAGCCTTCGGGCCATCCCAAGGCTGCGGATGCAGGAGGAGGAGCGGAAGAGCCCCGGCTGAGTTGACTTCGAGGCCTTGGGGTTTCGGCGGTACACCTTCCGGTGAAGCGGGGTTTTGCTTTCAAAGGACATCAGAAGGAACAACACCGGTTTTGGGGCCTCCCAACTCTGACACATTCCCGTGTTTCTTTTGTGACAAGCACAACTTGGTCGGCATATTGTCTCACGTGTTGGACAATTGGAGGCCGTTGGATGGAACCACCGAGGAAGTTTGAAGCGAAGCTCAAGAGCGGCGGCCTCAGGCAGTTGGATCCAACCGCATTGCTTCCGGTTGAGTTTCCTTTGAGTGCCCCGGTTTCCTCTTTGTTTCCTTTTTTTAAAGTCAGGTGCCCAACATTTGCAGGCCCATACCATACCCTTGCACTTGGGTTTCACCTTTCACGCTTTGACACATGAACAGTACCTTGGCTTACAGAACATGTTGTTAGCCTTTTGCATGCGTTTTTGCGGGAGAAAAGGCGTCCTCCGAGCCCGGGACCTGGGTGTCACAGACTCTCAAAAGCTGCCCTCGCGGTGGGAGTTTATGACGCCTGGCCATCAAATCGCAGCCAAGTGAGGAGGTCTTTCGGGAAGTGAGTTGCGCAATCAGCAAGGTGTTTTTGCACTGAGCAAACTCAGTGCATGGTTGCAAGATCCCAAGATCCTCGGTGCGCGTGATTTCCCACGGTTTCATTGCCGCCGTTTGGCGACGCGCCAAGGCAAAGAAGGCAAAGACGGGCAAGAAGGGCAAGAAGGGCCAGAAGGGACAGATGGTGCAGGGAAGGAGGGCAAGGAGGGCAAGGAGGCGAAGGATGGGGAAGAGCCTGCGCCAAAAGCTCGCCCAAAGAGGACAGACCTTGTGGCAGTGCCATAGGAAAACCTGTGAATCCGAGCCTTTCTGTATCCACCTGCCCCAAAATATCTACAAGCTGGATGGTCGATTTTCTGATTCAGATTTGTTGCAGTCAAATCCCCTACGTTCAAAGTCTCTCGCGCCAAATAGGTCAGGCTATTTTGGGGGTAAGCAGGAAGAGGTCTTTTCTGTTGCGTGTTTGGCCCTGTCAAGCTTTCAAGCTTTCAGCACACATGTGGAGAATTCACCTACCTTGGCTCAAGTCCGTCCAGTGGGTTGTTGCTTGCTTCTTTCCCTTCGGGCTCAAGGGAGCCACTTTCCCAAGCCGGGACCCCCGGCAGGAAGCGGCCAAAGTCTGCCGACTCCGACAAAAAGGGCCGCGGCGCGCGGCAGCGCGAGAAGCGCCGGGCCGGGGGCTGAGTCGCCGATTGGTCGGATTGCTCGGAGTCGAGTCGCGGGCGACCAAGAAGCTTCGTACGGGTTCTTGGACGGGTTCTGAGAACCATTCTGGTGAGGAGGGGTGCCCGGCCTTAGACTTGCTTCGACTCGGCACAACCACATTAAGCTGTTCTTGAAAGAAGCAACTTGCGAAACGAGGAAGCAAATGGAATGCTAAGCTAGACTACGAACAGACACCTGAGCTTGTAAGTGGGTCTGGCTCCAACTCTTAGGAGTTCTATTCTAAAGGGCTAAAGGCGGGGAAAGCAGCATTAGCCTAGAAGGAGTTTGGGCTCAGTGAGCTAAACTGGGTCAAATTTTATCTTGTTTGCTCTTTGGTAGCATCTGGCTGCCTTTAACTTTGGAGGACATAGGTGTGTGTGTGTGTGTGTGCGGAGTGACAGAATGCCCTGTCACCACCCTTTCGGTTTCTCAGCAGGGGGGCAGAGAGGACTTGCAAAGCTCTGCCCAACGAAGCTCTTTGCAAGCTCCTAGGATACGGAGTCTGATCCACTCCGCGTACCTGCGCAACTCGTGTGATTCAAAGTCCTCTTGGCCCGTTGGTTTTCTCGCTGTGTGTGCTTCATGTTGAACCTTGTAACGTTTTCGCAGCTAGACGGAAACCAAGTGACTGCAAGCCGAACCTTCACCTACTCGAGACTCATCAGTTGTACTCGAGACTCATCAGTTGTACTCGAAACTCATCAGTTGTACTCGAAAGATTAGCACTCTCCATCTGGAGTTTAAGTGTGTACACCCCATTCGTGGGGAATCCTCGGGTGTACCCATTGTGTGACCCCGGGCCGGCTCTGTCGGAAAATTTGACCTCAACGTGCTTATCATAGAACAGCGGAATTTCACATTTAACCAGGAACGAGGTCTCACTAAAGGGAAGACAGCGGTCAGATCATAGAGACGTCTCACCATCGATGTTTGCTTGCCACTTGTTGGATTCGTTGATACCTTGCCGTTGCATGGATTTGCTTGTTGTCTGATACGTGTCTCTCAAGATGGAAGCGTGAAGATTGAGAGTCGATCGTGTACCCATGTCTCGACGTGATGATCGTGATAGATCCAGGACTCGGCGCAGACGTGATCGGAGTACTTCTCCTCAGGCTCGTAAAGCACACCGACGTGAACACAATGACCACCACGTCTCGGAAGGCATGGATTGGAACAACCTGGTGTCTTGGCAACACAATTCCGGCTACAACTCTGCCAACAATTTCCCGATGATGCCCACCAATTTTCAATCGACTCACAGCCCCACACAGCCATTCCAGCGCCCAGCGATCAACTACATGATGCCGATCCCTCCAGACCCCACGCCAACGAAGTTCATGCCACCCGTGATGCCACCACCGGTCACTACTCCGCAACCTACACCGCCACCTGGACCTCCTGCGGCTCTACCGGTTCGCCCTCAGAAAGCCTGGCTTACACCATCGCCTGACTGGACACCTGGAGATGGCATGTTTGATGTCAATCAGCTCTACAACTTTAGCCTGCCCATGACCGTTGCCAACACTCCGCATGGCAACCTGCGCGACATGTCAGGCATGGATATTCGTGACGTTCGCCTGGTTCAGGTTATTCATGGGGGCCTCACCAACTGGCTGCTCCGACCGTTCGCTCACGGCAGATTCGTGACGTGGGAAGGCTTTCGCACTCGCACCGAGGCCTTACTTTGGAGTACCTGTTCCAAACTACTACGACGATCACAGTCGATCAACCTGCTCACCCTGGAAAAGGACCTTGCCAACTCGCTGGGTCTCAACATCGATGACTTCAATCAGCGGATCAAGGTTCATGACCATTTGGCCAGCTTGGTACTTCAATTTCTTCAGCAACACCACGCCTCTCTCACACCTTCCACCCAGACAGATGACATGGTCAAGAAGTACAATGATCTAAATCGTGCGCATGAGCTGCTCCAGGCTCAGTATTCAGCATCGCTGCGCGCTTCGACCTCTCCCACGATGGCAAGCCAGAAAGATGATGCAGAGTTGGTTACACCGCCACCGGTCAACCACACACCATCCTCGTCACCTGCCAGCTCCCTTCCTACAGCCAGCGCAGCGGCCCTTGATGGCAAGTCGTTTGATAGCGCGGTGCAACCCCGGATCATTCAGTCTCTTCACGGAGTGTCGTCACCGCCGTCCAAGCCGGCGGCGTCACAATTGCTCACCATGCACAGCACGCCGGATGAAGTTGTCAAGTACTACACATGGACCAGTGACCAGCCTCGCCTTTATCTCAAGCAATCGCCCACAACCACGACTTTGACGTCACTGGTCAAGTGGGCCAATCACCCGTCCCGGCTCAACGGCAACAAGTCATTAGATTCCATGGCGACGCAGCTCCTTCAAGCGCGTCAACGCATGCCGAAAGGCGACGCACCTACTCTCGGGGCGATGGCGGCTTCGTGGGGACTGGAGCCCGGCTATCTTACCAAGCTCACTGAGAAGGCATTGAGTCACCTCATCGTGACCGCTCGCCTACTCAGCGGATGAGCAGGCATCTTAACGACCTTCGTTCTCTTATGAGCCCGGAGCGGCAAACATGTCACGGATGAGTCAAGGTTAAAACTCGTCCGTCATCTTTCTGCGTTGCGCCAGTTTGATCTTGTGCTTGATTGTTCTTGCATTGCCTTGTGTGTAATTGTCTGTGCAGCTTGTATCCATGTCGCCGCCTTATGGTAGATTTCATTGGTTGCATTTTCACCATGTTGGATGAGCTTCGCCGCTGTGGAATCTATGATGATGTTGCACAATGGCAGTCTCTGGACAACTTTTTACACTCGTTGACCATGTTCTCTACGTGCTGGCAATACTGCTTCCCTGGACTACCACCACCGTCGATACCAGCTGATGAGTACGAATCAATCACACAACTACCGTGGTTGGGCCTCATTCTGAAGTCTTAGTTGTGGTCCGGATTGCCCTTCAGATTCCGAATCACGCTATGTCACACTCTCAACACACTGTGGCCAACAGGTATGAAATTCATAGATGTCGGTGCACTGCCTATTTATTGATCAGTTTCTTACAACGTCTCATTTCCCAAGATCATGGCTACTTTCCGCCGTTCTTTGAAGTCCTTCACTTCTACAAGGCTTCTCTCTTGTGTGAAATCATGCACTCCACTTTTGCCGACACGCGACATCTTCGCTCATTGCGGGCACGATTTCCGAACCTCTATGACTTCATTCACGATCCAGGTCATCATCAACAACCGTGCGTCTACATCCGACTTTCCCCATGGCACACACCTTACTACGTTGGTGCGACTGATCAGGATGTTCTACGACGTGAACACTCACGCAGTCGCAAATTTCTACAACTACTTCGAGGACGTCATGCCTTCTTCGAACCCGCGCTTCACTACTGGAAGCGATCCAATACTTACTGGCTTTTCTGTGCTGTTCCGGTTGAGATCAAACTTCCCGTTTCCTCGGTTTGGGTCCAGGAAAGCAAATGGCAATACCTGCTACGCCCGCATTTGAATGCACCCTGGGTACACAGACTTCTGCGAAAGGTGGGCTTCCGGGAACACCTCGTTGATTTTCGACGTCACTCGTTGTCGTCTCCCACTTCCCTCGGCTTGCACAAACGCTTTCGACGACGACTACATCCGGATCTCCAACGGCAACTACGACCCGACATGCTGGATGACATTCAGGCCCATTACTCTATTCTCTATCAGCTGGGATCCAATACAGGAGCATCGTTCCAAGCCATGCGTGACCTACTGTCGGCAGCTTTCCCTCCTACTCAGCTTTACTACTTTTTGCGGCTCTCCGTCTTTGTCAACGAGCCCTTCCGCTCCAAGGCGCAGAAACTCCTCGCCCAGGTGTTACGCAAACGACAGCTACAACCACCCACCACTTTGACACAACTACTCCTACCGCCTCTACATGTCCGGAATTGGAAAGCTCTACTTGGCACATGGTTACAAAGCTGGATTGCTGCTCATCGTGATTTGTTTCCTTCCCTTTTCCTTCCAAAGATCCGAGTGGTGGAAACTCGCAGTGCCACGTTGGGCGACAAGATCTACAACTACCGCACATGGCAGCGCAGATGGACTCCTGAAACATCCTTTCCGTGTCGCTGTTTGGACATCGATGATCACCATATACACCGAGCACATGGACATGCTGTAATGGTTGATGAGTTTTCTCGCATCAATGCGGACATTGACATGGAAATCATGGCCGCATCAATGAAGGATCAGTACTTCGGTGATGTCGACTTATTACATCAACGTTTCACCACGCAACTTCGCAAACTTGCTCGTCGCTGGCATGTGCATGGTTCCAGTCTTCTTGTAGATCTGCAACCGGTTTTGACTCAGTTAATGGACACTCATCGAGCTAACCTTCAAGATCGTGCTTATTGGTCATCGACATCATTGCAGCGCACCGTGGCTTCTCTGTCATCCTGGGTTGTAATCCCTGCGGATCATTTCCCCTCCCGCGCACATGTGATTTGTCCGTCCCTGTTTGCCATACTGATGCGGAAGACCTTTTGCTCGGGAGATGTCTTTTCGCTTTGCCGTGAATCCGCAGCATCTTTTCGCTCTGAAGTGGTAACTACGGTACCTTCCCTCCTACGTCAACGATATGCATGGGGACTTCGACTTCAAGCACCGTTGCCCACAGCGCGCATCCTTCCAAAGCCGACCAAGGACTGGCAGAAAGCACGACCCATCATTTCATTCTTTCGCACGTGGGCAGCTCCCTTCCTCACGGTCTTCGGCGCCCTCATATTTGAACTTACCAAAGCTACTTTTCCCGACATTGCAGGTCAACTTTCAGTACAAGAACTTGTCCAGCAGCTGTGGGAATCGCTGTCAAAGGCAGATCCCGATGAATACATCCACCTGGTGTCACAAGACCTGTCAGGCTTCTTCACGTCCATTCCTACGGAACGATTCCACCAGGCACTACAAGTGCTTCTCCATCGGTACGA